TAAAAATATTGTTTAAATATATTAAGTAATTATTATATAATATTCAAGAGGTCATTTTTAATCCTATTCCTAACCTCTGTTCTCAACACCACATTCCATGGGGTTAAAAAAATAAAAATAAAGTATGTAGAATAGAATAGAATAGAAGAATCAATTTTATTCTGGGACAAAGTCCCTTGAGAATAACAATATTGTACATAAAATTAACATTACATCTGGCCAAAATGCATATTACAATAAAAAAAACAATTAAAAAATAAGGGATAAAAGAAGTATTTACATAACTGTACAGATATAGTAAAGACATAATATGAGCAATAAGGTCCTAATACTGCAAAATAGTTGCTATAAACAATAAGCTATGGAATTATAAATGAGCGACAAATAACTTTTGTTGTCATGCCATTGTATTAATGAAAAAAAAAAATAATAAAAGAGTGGATAAATATTTACTTTAAATGATTTACATATGTATCTTAGTATGTTCGAAGAATACAATAATAGTATTGTAAACATTATACAAGTTCCATATAATCTAAATCCTATGATGTTGATTGATTAGAGAAAAGAAAAGATAATATACATATAGACGAGATTATATACACATATAATATACATTATAAATGGCTACCCAGCGTCTGATTGAGTTATAAGGAGGAATTGGAATAAGAGGGTTTTAAATGTGGATAAGGATGGTGCATGGCGGATTTTAAGTGGGATGGAAATCCAAAATGTGATGGAGCGGACAATAAAGGTGTGTTGAAATGAGGCCGATTTGTGGAAAGGGGTATAAAGGTCGGAAGGACGAGATCTTGTGGAGAGGGAGTGGATAGATGACTTGAATTGAAGGAGATTGAATGGGTAGGACGGACGATGATTATAGATTATTTGGTAAAGGAATGTACCTAGGAAATACTGTCTTTTGAAGGAGGGAAAGAGCCACCCTAACTCGACGTAGTAGTGAGAAACATGAGAACGTCTCGGGGTTCCATTGACAAATCGTACTAAGCCATTCATTATTTTTTTCAGTCTGTCTCCAAGTTCCGATGAGAGGCCACCGTACACTACGCAGCCGTAGTCAATGTGGGGGAAGATGAGGGCGGATACTAGGAGTCTACGTGTGGATATGGGTAGGAGATGGCGGAAGCGATGGAAGAGTTTCAGGATGGAAATTGAACGTCGGGATATGAGGGAAATATGGTGATTCCAGGAGAGGGTTTGATCTATGATAACACCTAAGTTTTTAACTGAAGTGTTGAAGGTGATGGGTTGGTCATTTAGGTACAGGAGAGGAATGTTGGTATTGGATCTGAGAAGGGGTTTGGAACCAATGACAATGGCTTGGGTTTTAGCAGCGTTTAACCTTAATCCATTTTCACTTGCCCAAGCACAAATCCGATTTAGGTCTTATTGTATTTTGGCAAACGGATCATGCCATTCAGAGGGAGCAAAGGAGAGGTAAATTTGGGAATCATCAGCGTAAAGGTGATGGGAACAGTGAAGGATTGATTTATGAAGATCGTTAATATATGAACTAAAAAGGAGAGGAGATATGCTGGAGCTCTGTGCCACTCCTGAGGACAGAGTTAGATAGGATGATAAAGGTTGGTTGGGAATAGAGACTGCTTGGGTACGTTGAGAGAGGAACGATTGAAACCAAAGGATAGAGCTGTTGGAAAAGGATAAAGATTTCAATTTGAAGAAAAGAATGGAATGGTTAATGGTATCAAAGGCTTTGGAAAAGTCTAGGAGGATGTACATGAAGTACATAACATTATCTATTTTTTATTTTAATATTAAGTTTAAATAAGTAAACTGTGATTTCACACTGACGCTATCTTCAAGAAGGCATTGTATAGTGTAAAGTGTATTAGTGATACGCCACCAGCTCCTAGCACCAAGAGGTAAGAAATCACTATGATTTTCCCGGAACTGTCACTGTCGGAGCTATGACGGAAAATCTTTGTCACACCCCAACACTACAGCTCTCTGCGACAGTTCTACTGTTTTGATAGCTGTTTTATAACACCGGCCATTGTACTGTTGCAACTAGGGATGTGACGGTCCTAGAAAAATTTGTCACAGCTCCAACTTTTCCATTGAAGCAGTGACAAATTACCGGTCCAGTGACAGTGACAGTGACGAACGAGCCCCAAACATACTACGGAAATAAAAACAATTATTTTGAGGGCCAAACATACTACGTTATCAGGTAAATACAAAACAATCATTTTGAGGTCCTCAGAGGGTCCCCGAATATCAATTATAGTGTATAAAAATCAGAAAACAAGTATTTTTAGGGTCCACCGGAGGGGTCTCAAACATACTTTGGATATTAATACAAAATATTGGGTAGTACGTAAAGTAATGCAGGATTTTGGTTTAAAAAGAAAGATTTACAACTGTTTCATTTAATCAAAATAGTCTCCACTACTATCAATATATTTCTGCCAACGTGTTGGCAACTTTTCCATTCACTCGCAATAGAATTTTCCATCTTTAGAATTGATAAACTCCGAAAACGCATTTTCCAATTCCCTTTGTCCATTACATTTTTTGTCTTTATTGTAATTAGTGGTCTATGTGTCTAAAATATGATAGTCCATAGGCAAGAGGTCCGGAGAGTAGGGCGGATGTGGCAGAGTTTCATATCCAAGCTCCAACAATTGTTATGACGTCATACGTGAGACATGTGGCCCGACGTTGTCATGCAACAAAATGGGCCCCATCCAATTGACCAAAGATGGCTTCATTAATGCCAATTTCTGATGCATTGTAATAATTTGGTCACAATACGACTTGGCATTGATGGTTTCTGCAGGATCTAAGCTCTAGTGTATCGAACCAAATGAAGCCCACCTAACATTAACCGTCACTTTTTATTGGAGACTTTGGAAAATGTTCTGCTGCTTCTCCTTTGTCGATCTACTGTCCAGAACGTCTACTGTTGTCGTAAAGTATCCACTTTTCATCACAAGTAACAATTCTGAGCAGAAAACGGTCGCTTCATAACGCTTTTTTTTTGGCGGTCGTTTAATGCGTGGGAAACCCAACATTTAAGCTTTTTTACCTTTTCGAAAGTCATCTACGGTCGATTTTCTAAGGTTGTTCTGGAATTTTCTTCCACCAAAGTCCGCAGAACATCGTCATCAAGAGAGCAAGTTCTTCCACGACCTTCTTTATCTTCAAGGCTGAAGTCTCTCTCCCGAAATGTTTTGAACCACCGCTGAACAGCTCACTCATTAATGCTGATTACGCCACATATTTGAATTATGTTTCTGGCCGTCTGGACCCCATTCCGTCCAAGCTTAAACTCGTAAAACAAAATTATACAAAATCACACGTTGACATCTTAGTAAAAACTGAATTATTTCTAAGTAGCGAAATGCTACAGAGGTAAATAAACATTATCGTTTGGAAGAGGATTAATAAGTGTTGACATTCATACAAATTAATAATCCAGTAAACATAAACAGTTTGTTATACAGAGCGGTATTTTAATTTGAATATGATCCCCTAGCCTACTTGGCATGGTCCCTTTGCTTGTTGTTAATTGAAAATAGTGCTAGTTTAAATATATTATACATCTACAGTTCCTGCAAGGTTAAATCAGTTCACAATCAAGAAGATAAAAAAAAAATTAAATTGAAACATTTATCATTTTTATAAAAATTTGGTTTGCTCAGACTTTTTCACACCACTGCATATTCACTTGATATGAAATACTTCACCCTCATCATCATCATCAATCATCCCAAGAGGCTTTAGAATTTCTTCTCGCTGGTTCACACTACAGTATTTTTTTTATAATAAGTGATCCTGACAAAAATCCCTTTTGTAGATTATTCAAGCCTCCCACATATCCATTAAAATCATCTGTTAAGTTAATGGAGCTATATAGACAGTTAAGACATGCAAGTGATAACAATATGAAGTTCATTGAAACATGAATTAGGGGAATATCATGATTTAGGGAGGTAGATAAATATTTCCTAATGTTAAAAACATATTTAATTTTATATTCAAGAAAATTCAGAGACGTTTGATCTCTAAGACGTTAACATCCTGAGTTATGAAATGAAAAATTTCTTTACTATTCTGAGACAGTCGCTTTAGAACAAAATTAAATTAACATCACACAATGGTCTAAACAGTGTGGCCATGCTATTTTCTACACAGTTCTTACTGGGTCATATAATTACAAATTTTACCAAATAATGAATGGGAAGTAAAATAAAAAGATGGTTCATGTGAAAAAAAAATTTAACTTCTTTAAGTTTTAATTTTGCCTTGTATTTTGTAATTCTTTTAAACCTTAAAATGAATACTCAACACCATATCTTGGTTTTCTGCAAGTATTAGTGCCTTGAGGCTTTAGTTTTTTATTCTGCTATTGTAATTTTAGATTAAAATCAATGATTAATAATGTATTCAAATTGTTTGGTCATTTGAAATAACTTTTATTCATGATTAACAACCGAACGACTAAAAGTTTAGACATTTTTTTAGTCCGATAAATTTTAAACAGACTCATACCCAGCTCTGGCTACATGTATGTATTTCTATTTTACACATCTACTTGTTTAAATATATATATTTTATGTTTTTCTTATTTGATCCCTGTTTTTGTCCTATTTAATTTGTGTATAAAATATATTCAGTATTAATTCAATAATACTGAAAAGCTGTCTAATTTTACAGGGTACATTAGTGAAAATGAACATAAAATCATAAACTTTATAAAGCTTTAATTTGATGAAAATTACCATACAAATAAATAATTAAAAAATTATAACATTAAGAATAAGTTTTTTTTACATTGCGAATTTTAAAATTTTCAAAATTAAAATTGAATCTCATATATATATATATATATATATATATATATATATATATATATATATATATATATATATATATATATATATAATACAAAAGTATAAGCTTTTAATGGAACGTATGTGTATTTTTGATGTTCGGTTGCAGTAAGTGTAAGATGTTTAAGCATCATCAACTTCTTGTTCCTGTTCTTCATCAAACTCAGCATCTTCATCAGCTGTAGCTTCCTAAGAAAATAAAAAATAATAATTTTAATAGTATCATAGAGTTTTATAACCCACATTAGCTAAAATTCATTAAATTATAATTATTATTATTATTAATAAAATTTAAAAAAAATTGAATATCTTATCAATGAGATTCATTAAATACCAACCACCAATAAAAACAAGACTTCAAATATTTGTTAAGATAATTACTATTCAAAGTTCTCAGAAAAAAATTGTAATTAGCAATTATATATTTTTTTCTCTAAAAATATTTTATCAATTTTAGTTACTTTTCTTTCTTTTTTTTTTTTTTTTTTGTTAATATTGTGGCTCTATACGTAGAGAATTACATTATTCACAAATCTTAACTGCCCAATATAACTAGTTTCATTAAATACACTACAGTTATTTAGGGAAATAAAGGGGAAATTGGGGCCAAGGATGACAAAACCTTAGTTGAAAATTACTAGTTTTGAAATTTAAAAAAAAAATAAAACATTGGTAATTCAAGAGAAACATTTTGAACACTTATGATTCAATTCAAGGCAGACTACTTCTATAATTACTTTTAGGTGGATCAGTTTGCAGTAATAAGGTTCCATTACAGCTATAAATATAATAAATATTTAAATTTTCTTGCAATAATATGAAAAATATATTGTTTACCTGGTATTGTTGGTATTCTGACACAAGATCATTCATATTTGATTCAGCCTCTGTAAATTCCATTTCATCCATGCCCTCTCCGGTATACCAATGCAAGAAAGCCTAGGTTAAAAAAAAGGAGAGATAATTAATATTATACTGTTGTTATAAATGTATGTATTTTAATGTTTTTATGGAATATAAACACTTAGAACAGAGATTCTTTACCTTCCTTCTAAACATAGCAGTGAACTGTTCAGAAATTCTTTTAAATAATTCTTGGATAGCTGTTGAATTTCCAATAAAAGTGGCAGACATTTTAAGGCCCCTTGGAGGAATATCACAAACTGCAGTCTTTACATTATTAGGAATCCATTCAACAAAATAAGAGGAGTTCTTGTTTTGAATGTTCAACATTTGTTCGTCTACTTCCTTCATTGACATACGGCCCCTAAACACAAATTATTGTCAACATAGTTCTAATAAATCCTTACTATTTAACGTTTAAAGGAATAAAATAGTATTACCTGAAAATGGCTGCAACAGTAAGATACCTTCCATGTCTAGGATCACAGGCAGCCATCATATTCTTTGCATCAAACATTTGCTGAGTAAGTTCTGGAACTGTGAGAGCTCTGGAAATAAAGTTATATGTTTATTCAAAAGAGGACCTAATACTTTGAAGAGTTTATGTTGATGAAATTCAGAATTAATACCTATATTGTTGAGAACCTCTTGAAGTGAGTGGGGCAAATCCAGGCATGAAAAAGTGTAGTCGAGGGAATGGAACCATATTAACAGCTAGTTTTCTTAAATCAGCATTCAATTGACCAGGAAATCGGAGACAGGTAGTAACTCCAGACATAGTGAGAGAAACAAGATGGTTCAGATCACCATAGGTTGGCGTCGAGAGTTTCAATGTGCGAAAGCAAATGTCGTAGAGGGCTTCATTATCTATACAATATGTTTCATCTGTGTTTTCAACTAGTTGGTGAACGGAAAGGGTTGCATTATATGGTTCTACAACAGTGTCTGATACCTGAAATGAAAAGATAGAACAAAATAACTTGCAGGAAGTTCAACAAAATATTTGCAAGTTACATGATGAATAATGGTAATCATTAATTATTACCTTAGGCGAAGGTACTACTGAATATGTGTTCATAATTCTATCTGGATACTCTTCACGAATTTTCGATATAAGGAGGGTTCCCATACCCGAGCCAGTTCCACCACCAAGAGAATGTGTCAGTTGGAATCCCTAAATGAATAAAAATAAAAAATAAAAAATGCATCGGGAAATAATTAGAAGAAGAAAATTATAAAGACCTTACTTGTAAACAATCACAAGACTCAGCTTCTTTCCTTACAACATCCAATACAGAATCCACCAGTTCAGCACCTTCAGTATAGTGACCTTTAGCCCAATTATTTCCAGCTCCTGACTGACCAAAAACGAAATTGTCTGGCCTAAATATTTGTCCAAATGGACCAGAGCGTACGGAATCCATTGTGCCAGGTTCCAAATCAACTAAAATAGCTCTTGGAACATACTTTCCACCTCCAACATGTCCGACCGGACAGATAAATTGATTACATAAGGAATCTTCAAACAATACATAATAACAAATAAATAATATGTAAAACTTACCAGATGCCTCATTATAATAAACATTGATCCTTTCCAGTTGTAAATCAGAATCCCCATGGTAAGCGCCAGTGGGGTCGATTCCATGTTCATCTGAGATAATTTCCCAGAACTGAAAAAGATAAAACAAGCTTGTAGAATGAAAATAATATAACAACGGCTTTCAGTAATGAAATAAATAATCTATAGTTATCAAGAACCATTAAAACTAACTCATTAATTAATTAATGAAAACCAAAATTAAGCATGGTATTTGATTCATTTAAAACTTAAAAAATTGTGAACGATTCATCATTTAGCTCCTGTAGGTACAATGTTCCAGAGTTAAGGACAATAAGGGAAGATAGCAACAATACAATAGTTTCAAACGCATTTAAAAGTATGTTGGGGAATTTCCCGAACTTTGTAACTTTAATTTATGAGTATGCAAAATCTTTTAATCAATGAAAACAATGTCTTTGTTAAAACATAAACTATTGTATCTAATTTATTTGAAAATTTTAATAAAAGTTGAAATCATTTTGATTTAAGAAAAGATAAAAAAGAAAAGAAATCAAAAAGACTAATTAGTCTAGAACCAAACTGGATTGCAGTGGTGATTCTGATTATCTCAATGTATTTATTAATGAATTTCTGCAAAAATGTCAAATCAGACAGCCATTCATTATGGATCACATATTTAGTTAAATATACTGAATGTGTAATTTAAAAAAAAAAAACTCAAAATTGGAAGTCTCGATTCTTTTTCTATTTGAGGTCAATTTATAGGTTAATAGTCAAGTGTTAGAGAGGCACCAATTTTTTGGGGGATTTCCTAGATCTTAGAAAAAGAATAATTTTAACATATGAACAGAATATTACTTATTATTAATAAGTATTTAATAATACATTAAAAATGCATACAAGACACAAACAAATTTTTTTTGTAAGAAAAGTTAATGCTAAAGAAAATGTTATATTTGTACTACATTTCATTATATAAGGCCAGTGTTTCATAATCTGTAAAATACGATTATAAGATGATAAATTGAAACTATGCATTAAGAACCAGGCATATGAGCACATAATGATTAAATACATTGAATACAAACTTTTAACTCTGTAATTCAGTTTTTGTTCTTGCAAATAAAAAAGGAAATAATATTGATGAAGACAGACTGAAAAATATTATAGCAATAAATTACTACTTAAAGAAACACTATTAAATTTCCAATTAATTATTTATACAATATTTTATAAATAAATTTGTTGAAGAGCAACACTAATGTAAATAATCCAGTTACTACACGGGGTTGAAACATTTTTTAAAAGTTCCATTTTAACAGTTTCTGGGAGACATATTAGGAAAAAACTTTTTAAAATAAAATAATAAAGTTTCAGGTTTATGGTAAAAGTATAACTGTATTTATTCAAGTTATTAAAAAAGTTCTGTTAAATGAAAAATAAATAGTAGTTGGGTTAGATTAAAGATCTAATTTGTCTTAAATGAATTACTCTTGATTCTAATGTGTTTGTTTGAGTAGTTCTGAATAAAATTATTTTTTTAGGTCGACTTTTTAGCGAAATTAAAAGTACTTTTAAATAAAAGTTTTATAAAAATAAAAGTTCTGTAAAACCTTTACTTAAAAAAAAAAACTATCGACTATAAAAATTCCGGTGATAGCAAAACATTTTAATTTTTTTTTTCTGTTTCAAGCCCTGGTTACTACATGGTGATTCCACTTGCAGGTTAGGTAAGGCGGCACAGTTGAAAAATAGTACCAGCGGCACAAAGTTAGTACCTTTGCTCTAAATAGATCAAACAGATTAATGAAAAACTTGAGTCGACCAAACATTCATAACCGTAGTAAGTATGTGCGCCCCCTCAAAAACCCACAATCTCGTAAAAATGGGTCCCCATAAACATTTTGGTGTCGCAACTTCCTTCTGGGCGTCCCTGAAAGGGACAGTCAACACGTCTAAATTATATGACACGAGAGAAACAAAAAATCGGTAATAGAAAAGCGGCTGACCAATTAGATAATTCGAAACAAGGCTGTTTAATTTCTATTTAAAACAAATTTTGACAAGTAATAATTTACTTAAGCACAGTTAACGAATGCTTTGAAAGAAAATTAAACAGAAGGAATAATAAGAAACTTAGGAAACCTTCAAACAACTGACTCAAGACATGAATCATTTTCCAAAAGAGAGGGCATATAGTGCAATGCCATGAGTCATTTAATCGATTTGACTCGGAAGAGTGGGGGTGTCCAGCTGCCTGCAATGCGCTCTATTCCATTGATCTTGTCGCACTGCACTTACTTGTCGACATTATTTCTTCTAGCTATTATTTCCACTAGATTTTTATTAATATTTTTTTAAGTGAAGTAAATAAAATATTACAAGAGAGAGGGGAACGGATCCCCCAACAGGTGTTACTTTTTGTACGCCGTCTCGGTATACTATTGCAATTGCCAGCTAAGTTAAATTCTTTATTTCACGTATACAGAGATGTAAAAATTGTCTCCTTAAAATCATTATTTTTTAGGGTACTAAATAAATTTAAAACACGGTGTAGCATAATAAAAAAGTTTTGTGTTTAATAAACAGATCCACTTGGTTTTGATTATTACTTACTTATAGCCACTAGCGGATCCAGAATTTAATTTTGGGGGTGGGGGCTTCAGCCCGAAAGAATTTTTTTTCATATACATATAAGTGGTTCTTGAAGTCCTATTAAATGTAATTAAACGAACAAGAATACTTTAAGAGGTTGTTTTTAATATTTTTTTCTGTATATTTTACCATTTTGGGGGGGAGGCTTCAGCCCGAAAGCTCCTCCCCCCCGTAGATCCGCCTGTGCTTATAGCTACAATACGTATTATTCAGCAATATAATAAGACGTATTGTAATGAAAATAATTAGTTACAAACTATCTTGATATTTCACATTTCCCTAGACCCTGAGTCCCGTTTATTTGCTGTTAAATGAGAAAAAATTGGTATTAGGGAAAATTTTCTTTTCACCCGAGGAAAGGGAAAATGTTTGTTTTCATTTTCAACAGTACTAAAATATCTCATGATTTCTAATTAATAACCCCTGTTATTTGTAGATAGTTCTGATCTTTTGGTTATTATCATCACATAAACGGGATGATAAGCCCTCGCTCTTCCAGGCCGGGCTGCTGCTATCCTGTCACCTCTAGAAATGAGTCTTCCTCTCAAAAAGGAAATATCAGACAGCCGGCAGTTCATGTAGAATGAGAGTCCACCAAGCAAGTTAAATGTTATCAAAAAATCAGTAAACCCCTGGACCCCAGCAAACCGTTCAAATTGCAGGGAAGAAGTCGCCTTGACTAGGTTGAGAATAGGACATACAAATTTGACTCATTTATACTTTATCAATAACCACCTCCAACATGCCAATACTGCAGTAGCCCTTTCACTGTCAACCATATTTTTCAGGAATGCCTCAATTACCCCACAAGCTTAAATAGATTATCTCTTAGACCGAATATTTCAGCTATATTAAATAATCATGAATCAAATATAAGCAGTCATAAACTTCCTTAAAACCACGGGCGGATCTACGGGGGGGGGGGGCTTTCGGGCTGAAGCCCCCTCCCAAAAATGATAAAATATAACCATGTTTTTTCGAAAAAAATATTTAAAAAGTATCTCTTAAAGTATTATTGTTCGTGTAATTACATTTAAAAGGGCTTTAGGAATCACTTAAACACCATTTCATATAGGTAGTTAGCTTCTCTCTTTTTTTGCAAAGTAATTATCGTTATTTTTATGAAAAAAAAACTTTCGGGCTGAAGCCCCCCCCCAAAATTAAATCCTGGATCCGCTAGTGCTTAAAACTCATCGATTATTTAACAGAATATAGAAATGTATATATATATATATATATATATATATATATATATATATATATATATATATATATATATATATATATATATCATCTTTTTTTTCGAAGCAGTTTCTGAGCTGCAGAGAACAAAAATAAAGAACAAACAGGCGTTGATGACCCCAGGGTTTTACGCCTCAAAGCCCAAACAAACATAAAGGGGATTTATGTTTTCATATATCTAAAAACATAGACGCCGCACAGTGGGACAAGTAAGGGAAAACTCGCGACATCGGCTAAATCTTTTTTTTTTTAATTGAACTATTCAATAAATACAGTGAAAAATGCCTAACTGAATATATCATCATAAACGCTGCGAACAACACTAGGTATCAATAAAATAGTTTATCTAGTTTTTGGAGTTCTAAAAAAAAAATAATAGATTTAGACAGATTCAAATAGATATAGCCAGTTTTCCCTTACTCGTCCCTTTATGCTCTGGCAGTAGGAAAATATTGCAAACCATGGTTAAAATAACATAATACACTTTTTAATGATTTGTAGGAGAGAGGGGAGATGGAACGTCATACATAAAGGTGTAGCTCAGTAATCATTGTATTACCTGTAGTATTATATAATTATTAATTATACGGTTTAATAAAACTTTTTTTTGGAGGGAGGGGTATACTTACCAGTTAAAATAAAAATAAAACGACATTAAATGAACTAGAAGACTGAGCTAGTAGGGCACAAAAAGTAACATCAGAACCAATAACAATTTTTTTTTCATAAAGAAGAATTGTTTCTCGGTCAAAAGTTGTGCATCGTGATTTAGCACTAGGATTACCCTTAATACCTTTTTTGCCGCAATTAAGGATACCTAATTAATAGATCTACGGTTGATGTTACAGAATAAATAATTAGCTGCTACAGCCTGACTCAATCTTGGATCCAAAAAATAAGAGGGCTGTGTCTTACAGAGCTATCACGGTCCCTGAACAACTAGGTCAATTAATGTGGTTAAAGAAGATCTTAAAGTTTAATAAGCCATTTGGGTATGTTCTGTGGAATAGAAAACCATCCCACATACGAGAGATCTTTTAGATAGGCCAAATCCGTGGGCTGGATCAGCTGGCTTTTCTGCCTATCTGATTGACAGCTTTATTTCTTCTTAGAGCTTACTAAAGTAAAATACCGGTTCTACCCGTGAATTTGGTTATTACAAGTAATTAATCACCTAAGTGAAAAAAAAATTTAGCAATTCGAGATAGGGAAATAAAAAAATTAGTCCTTAATTTTACAGATTATAGAATCCTTAGTCATATTGATTACCAACGTAAAAACAAATTATTACATAAATTTAGAAGTAATACTTTTTATTTTTATATTATTTAGTTGAAAAACAAATCAGACCGTAGGGGACATGATTAAATTCATGTGTGAAGATGATAATGTAAAACTGACGTCTCAACCAAGTATGTATGATGACAAAGATGAAATACAATAGGAACCGGTGCTTTTGTGGAGATTAGAGAACCCCTCATAGACTGGTAAAGCTACTTGCAACAAATTTATACTACTTCTATATATTTTTCTTTGGAATGTCTCAGAAATGTCATTAAAACAGTCATAATTTCAAGTTTTTGTTTGAAATAATACATTATTATTTGTTAATTGTAATTAATATGAATATAGATTGTTAATTATTATGAATACGAACAAATATTTTAAAAAATCTTTTAAAGGTATTTGGACGAGGAGATGTAAATTGTTGAGTGCTTATGATAAATTTGCATAGTATTTACTTAAAAATTAAATTTTAAGATCAAAGACGAGGGTTAGGAGAGAAAAGAAGGGATAGGGAGAGAAAGCAGGACACGAGTAATCAGTGAACCATAGATGGCAATGCTATGGCACAGCGCTGGTTATGGAGGTGACCTCAATACCTTTCCAGGATTTCTTTCAGCATCTCTTACTCTTTTAATATAAGCCATTTCAAAATAAATTATAAAAATATATTATTCCATGCTAATAACTAAAAATACAAATTTACTTTTGGTTAAATTCATTCCACTTTATGTGAAATAAAAATAAAATGTACAATTAAATTAAATGCCTAAGAAAATACTTCGGAAAAAATCATCAGATTTTTAAATGACAAACACGAAACTTTTAACTGGAAATAATTAAACAAGATCACTCCAACTTGTTAAAAGAATTATACAATCAGAGCTCGTAGTAAAATTAAATATTGCATTCATAAATATAAATAATATAATAAAACATAAAACTAGAAAGTTAAAATTTTGAACCATCCCAGCTCAAAAATATATCAGATATCAGATTGGTTCAAAATAATGAAAACAATAATATTATGGTATTATAAAGATTATTAAATTGGTAACATCTCGCTGAGATAATAAAACAAAGGACATTCACTTTGGAAGAAAAAAAACCGTTGAAAACCGTTAGAAGAAGCAATGGCGGGCGGGCAACGAACCTTGCAGCCGGCAACGCCAAGGGACCTTATCAATCGATTATTGTAAGCATAAACTACCACCTTTGTTTTGCAATAACGCGCTTTTTTTTGGCGGCTAAATTTTGTTTTGTATCGTTCGTCGGATAAAATAATTTGAAAACTATGTAACTGTATTATTTTTTAAGTTAATGGAGATTTTAATCTAACAAATACAATATGAATAGATTCAAAGGATGCTAGAATCAGCTCATACACATTATCTGATTGTAACCATGCATTGATTATAAATGTTATTATTAAATAATTTAACTTGAGCTGAAAGCCACCTTGTTTTTAGATTTGTTAATACCTGGTTGCGCGTGCTGCACCTTCAATAGTTACGCCAACAACCTTTTTACCCCCAAAATCTTGTGTTTATGTTTTTAAAAAATCTGATTTTGTAAAGTTTCAACAAATGGACAGTGGGGGACAAAATTATTACATACACTCAATAAAATGAAGTTAAAATTTTTAATTTTTTTTTGTTTGTCCATTACTTTATTTAATTTTAGTAAAGACTTGGTTTTTGGCCTTATGAATGGATATTATAAAAAAAAAAAATACAACTAGAAAGTATATGATTACCAATTATTAACTTAGAATTTTGCTCTAAACTTACTACTTTAGACAATTCCCGAGTAGATATTTTTTTTCAAATGATAATGTCAAAAATAATGATAATAATTACAGTAAATTGTAATAACATACCTTAGCACCAATTTGGTTTCCACATTGCCCAGCTTGGATATGAACGATTTCCCTCATGATTGCTAAATACAAAAATACAACTAATATAGTATTACAGTTTAAAATATAAAAATTATTATACAAATAAAACTGGTCAGTTACTTGTGTACTGTTGACCGACTAGAGAAGCCTAGAAGAATGGAGAACCGCAGTGTGCAGGGGGACCTTATGTAGGGACAGTGAGAAGCTGCTCATTGGTTGGCTGCTCTACTACGTCACACCATCCTTCCCTGATTCCGTCCACGCCTTGTTCACTTTATTATCCTTTTTGGGCTGTAATAAAGTGATCGTTGTACAACCAATTATTTCTCATCTTTATTTTATGAATTGTTTAATCTCATTTACTATTTATAAGCATTCCGAAATTATAATATTACTTTTTTAAAAATACGTTTGGTCCCATCAAGTCCAATTGAAAAAGAGAACAGTTTTTAAACTAGTCGTTTTTAAGTTAAAGGATTAACTCTCTGCTTTATTTTTTTGTCAACTATATTTAAATAGACATATAACACTAAGTTTTATTATGACTCTTTTTGTAATTAAATACAAATGATGTCAAGTAATAAATAAATAAAATAAACAATGAAAGTTGGAATTTCGCAGTCATAAAGAAAAATAACGGATTACCATCGAACTAATTTAATGTGAACTGCAAATCATTTATAGTGTGGTGTTTGACCTGAAAAGTTGGCCAAAATCGATTTTTTGTTTTTACCTCTACTCTTATAAAGTATTCTAATTGAGTATAAAAATCTTTGGACTAGTAAATGACATACGAATCAGATTTTTTGAACGACCACGGGTCACAGGACAAAACTTGGAAGATGATGTTCTGACCACCTTCTCAGCCAGTCTGTTGGATTTTCTTGAAATTGAAACTCGCTCATACTGTCATAAAGTGCAAAAGTTTTTTATTTCTATCATAGCTAATTCTCATCAAGGTGTTTATTAGAAAAGACACTTTTTTTTTTGTTTTGTTTATTTAAAGAAGTTGTCAACTATATACAAATACAACTAGGAAATATGCACAAATTATAAATAATGACATGAACAGGCTTGAAGTGATACTACCCAGTGGTAGATGTATTATATAAAAAAAAATACAACTAGTAAATGTGCACTCAGGAATATAATACACATGAAATCGCTTGTTGAAAAACTACCCACTGATCGCACTCAAATAATAAATTTACACAAGAAGATTACTAGGCCACCTTCTTTTCAGTCGCCTAGTACGATTATCAGGAATCGAGGAAGAAGCAATGGTGGAAACAAGCGGATTAAATTAGCTCGGGCTACATTAGCGACATATGGTATACACGGTGGGCCAGACCCCCCTATCGTGCACCCCCCTCCCCCCACATCCCTATAAATTGCATATCATTGTGTTCCTTGTAACTATTTATTAAAGAAAAGCCAATGTTCCCACAAAAAAAGTGAACGCACTGTCCCAAAATGGCGTCCAAAGATGGCGGATTTACGACTTTGACTTTTAGTTAGTTTTTTGGTCACTGAGAATCAGCACTTGGTTTGATTTACTCATGGTTGGTTTTTTATTAAAGCTGAATAGTTGGAAAATAATAAAACATCAACAAATATTAAAAAATAATTGGCTTAACACAAAAAAACACGTAAAGTCAAAAATTTTAACAACAAAATTGTTGAAAATAAAGCGTCCTTTGTAATTAAACGGCCAACAATAACGCAAAATGTGCTGAAATAAAACATCTGAAGAATATATTTCTCTTTCTAAAACACTTATTACTTTTTAAAATATTTGAAGTAGCTCCGTAGAAAATGCACTTATGCGGGGGAAAAGCGGTGCCGGCATAGGTGCCTACAAACCTCTACCACACCATTCTGTACACATAAATGGCTTAGTTATAGTGATATAATAACGTTTTTGGTACATTATATTGGTTTTATTAGCTAACAGATATTAATGCAATCATCTATGCAATTATCTGAAGGATATCTAGTCCTATGCCATTTCGATCTTGCTCTGCGTTTTTCCCTTAATAAGATTCGAATATGTAATGGCAAGTTAATATGTCGTGAGTTATTGTTTTTATTGGTTTAAGTGTTATCATTTATACTAATAGCTGTTGATGTAGTGAGATTTTCTATGGCTTTGTCAATGTCTTGTTTTTTCTTAAGCGGAATTTTTAAGTCCAGTTTATTTTCCAAATCGTAACGAAACTTGTCCCAGTCTACTCGTCCTGTAATCAATTTCGGATGTGAGGGTTTAGTAACGAGATTTGAATGTAATAATAGCAGAACTGGACTATGATCTGATAAAAGGACATCCAGGGATTTTATTGTGTTCAGGTAAGAGGAAATCTGGGAAGTGATAAATATATCTAGGATATCAGGACGTTTTTTAAGGGATGTTGGCCAATATGTTGGATTCATGGACGAGAGGATAGAATAACTATTGGAAGATGAGACATGAGATAGGATATTACCACGGGAATTGGATGTTCGACAACACCATCGTTGGTGTTTAGCATTGTAGTCTCCTCTAGCAATAAAGCGCGATCCGAGTGATTGGAATAAGGAATCAAGAAGGCTATGAGAAAAGGAATTTCCAGGGGGACAGTATTCAGCTGATAATGTAAGATGGAAACGGCTAGTTGATAGGATTACCGAGGTTGATTGAATGGCGTCAGTTTGAATGGCGGTAGAAGGAATGTATTTACTAATAATATTTTATTGAGAAAAAAAATACATTTTGCCTCAATTAAGGGCATTGTGTATTTCGGATGAATGAAACACAAACATTCCATATATACAATAAAAGAAAAACAAGATTATAACGAAAGAAAAGAAAAGAAAAGTTGGAATAACAGAGTAAATCAATCATGAGACAATATTAAATAAAAAATAAATAATAACACATTCATACTTATTTAAAAGATTTACAGTCAGCCGAGGGAGCTCCTAGTCGGGCCCTTTCCCCCACGTATGGAGGATAAGGCAAGACTCCAAGAGATCACAGCACTTCTCTCTCAGCCGCATCACTAGGGTCGGAATCCAGTGGAGACTAAGAGAGGGCACTAAAGCCACTAATGCTCAGGACTTGAGTGGAGAAGGTGGCCATTGCCAGGACTCCAGTGACGTAATTACAAAAGATCTCGAGGCCACTGCCGCTTCAACCTTCGAGAAGGATTGTAGGGATGACTAGAACTGGGTAAGGATTGTGCTAAGGGATTAGGTTCTGATGAAAATTTGAAAATCGGGATGGAATAACATCTAGGAAATAAGGGATGTTAAGGTCATGATGTAAGGTTTTGTTCGTAACATAATAAGGAGCATTGACTATTATACGGAGGACTTTAGACTGGAAGGATTGGATGCGTTTGATGTTCGAAAATTTAGTTGTTCTCCACAGTCCAAGTCCGTAGGTCCAGATGGGTTTCAGTATGGTCTTGTATATTAATAGTTTGTTTTCAATTGAGAGGTTAGATTTTCTGTTAAGCAGTCTGTATAACTGGCCAAATCTTCGGTTAAGCTCTTGTCTTTTAAGTCTGGTATGTGGGTTCCATGTTAGTCTTTTGTCTAAAAGGAATCCAAGATACCGAACTGTGTCTGAGACGGGGAGAGGTGCAGAGTTGAAAAGGATATGTGGACAGGATCTGCGTCGGAGGGTAAAGGTGACATGCTTGCATTTCGATTCATTTATCTTAATGGGCCAATTGTTGCACCATTGATCAATTAGGGAGATGTGTCTTTGTAGGTTTAAGGATGCTGTTTCAGGATCTGAGTGGAATGACAGGATGGCGGGGGGTTTCGAGAATGGGTTGGATACGTTGGAGAAGGATTTTTTCAAAGATTTTTGAGAGGGCCGGAAGTATGCTTATTGGTCTATAGGATGAGGTATTATTAACAGGTTTACCTGGTTTAGGGAAGAGGATAATAATGGAGTGTTTCCATATCAGAGGAAAGTGAGTTGTAGGGAGGGGGGGGGGGTACAGTTATCCAGGTATGCGAGGAATATGATTGCTTTGTTGGGAAGTTGTCCAAGGATCTGGGAAGTAAGGAGATCGTTTCCAGGAGATTTCCGATGTTTCAAGTTGTTTATAAAGAATTTGACCTCAGAGGGGTCGACAGTTTTAGGAGGCAAGGAGAGAGGAATCGGAGAAGAAAGGAGTTCTTTAACTTCAGTAGTGTGGGTGGGAACGAGTTCGGTGTGGGGAGCGAATGTGTTGGATAGGTGTTTGGCATATTCTTCAGCTCTAGTCTCATCTGACAAAGCCGAGGTTCCATCATCTCGTCAGAGTGGGTGGAAAATATAATATGGTATTTAAGGATTTTTTTGGTCACTTTACAGATGTAGTTGTCATCGGTACCCCACTGCCCCCCTTGTGGTGTTCCGGAGACTGTTGAGCATGTGGTCACAGCCTGCACTGTTTTCGACGGATTAAGGGCCAGGTTAATGAGAACCACAGGAATTTACGTCCCCACTGAAGAGGAGTTTCCTCAGATGATGAGTGAAGAAAACTTCCCGCGGTTCCAAGAGTTCATAAATGGCTGGAAGACGGCGGTGGATCCAGCTCACTTCAACCTAGGTTCCCGCAGAAGGAGAAGAGGACTAGTCCCAGAAAGACCTACGGATTCGGGAAGCCAGGCGTAATTTGGTGTAGAAGGAGGAAAAGTAGAAGAGTGTGCACAGCTTTGAATTATGTTAACTGATATTATAGCAGTAGTGTGTATTAATGCATAAAATCATACTACTGCATCCACCCGTATTGCCCTGGTGGCATGGGAGGGTAGAAAAATAAAAAAAATAAAATTATGGGGATCTAAAGGTAGCCAGTTCTTTTTTAACCTGTTTGGATTAGTAATTGTATAATTTCCGATCATCAGGCTGCCTGGTTCTTTGCCAGAGGGTCCTAGATTGGCGTTTGGATTTAATAAGGTCAGTAAGGTTTTGGGGTAAAGGATTCTTTTTAAGGGATTGTTTGGAGAGGAGTGGTGAAGATGCAGTCCAGACTGCTTGTTGGATCAAGGTGGTGAAG